GGTGTTCAAAACAAAAACCAATCTTGATGGTTCCATCAACAAATACAAGGCGAGGCTTGTTGCAAAATGATACAAACAAAAAGAAGGAGAAGACTTCAATGAGGTATTTGCTCCCGTTTCAAGACTTGATACAATTCGTTTAATTATCTCTCTTGCGGAAATTTTCATGAAGCCACTTGGAGGTCCCGTTTTTCGAAAAATGTGGAAGGTTTGGGAGTAAAAAGCAAATTCAATTTACGGGAGGCAATGTTGGAATAAATTGAATTAATGTGAATTCAATATTGGAATTAGTGGCAATTCAATATTGGAAGAAGTGGGCATTCATGTTAGAAGAAGTGGGCATTCATGTTGGAAGAAGTGGAGGATTGAATAAATGTGAATTTGAAGCACTATTGTCTAGATGTATAGACAATTGTCTTTTGATTTTCCTAAGTATTAAATTAGAATTAAAAGAGTTGTTAGTGTATGAGTTATTTTGTAATTTATTAGTAGATTAATGTACTCCTCACTATAAATATGGAGTGCTAGAGATCATTGTAAGCAAGACAAGAAAAACAAAAAGAGAAGTAATTTTTCCATCAACAAAACACTTGTATTTTACTTTCTCTACTAAAAAATATTATTTTTTCAAGTCTTCACAAAATCACTAAAATCCAAATTCGGGATTAATCATTTTTATCCTATCCTGGTGCCTACATCATGATCAACTCTCATCTTCTCCATCTTCCAAAACCAGAAAACCTTTCTCCTTCCTCCATAAACTCACAAAACCTAAACATTCAAAATCATCAAAACTCAACAAATCTTACAATGATGGCAAGTATGGAGTCAGAAGACATCAAAATAAAAGATTCTACGGTAGAAGAACCCAAGAAGGTATACATTTATGTGCTTTTTAGCTAGAATACCGTTTTTCCAAAAAAATCATGCACAGACGCGGTCGACATGTACATGTCGAATTTGATACGTACAAATCGACACTGAGATGTCGATTTTGTAGTACCAAATTCGACATTTCACAATGTCGACTTTTCTGCTATAAACTCGACATCTCAGTGTCGATTTTTACCAAACAAATTTTACATACTCTTGATGTCAAATTTTTTTGGTCTTTTTTTGGATGCTTAAGTGTCGATTTCTAGCATAGTTTTTCAACACTTTGGTGTCGATTTTTACCAGTTTCAAATTTAATTTTTTCCCCTTCTTTTAAGGTTGAACAAAAAGAGAAATTACCATTTTTGAGGCGTTGTTGGGCGGATTTAGGTCGCTCATGGTTGCGAGCGGGGGGGCTGGCAGCGGCGGTCAACGTGGAGCTTGCGGCGACGGAGCTTGGGCGGTGCAGGTGTGGCGACGTTAAGGGTTTCACAGGGGGGTCGGTTTCCTTTTCTTTTTTTATTTTACGTATTCTTTTAAATTTTTGTTTTGCATTATTTTTTATTTGGTCTTGCATGAGCAAATAAAAACAAATTTAATTTATGGGTATATTTGTCATTTCATTTTAATAAAATAGAAACTTTTGGAATCTTTCTTTAATAAAATAGAAACTTTTGCAATCTTTCTTTAATTTGCTCTTGCAGAATTGAAATTAGTATTGCATATAGCCGCGACCAATAAAAAAATACATAATAATGAAATTTAAATTTTCTTTTGATGTAGGGATAATTTAAAATATATACATAAATTATATGATAATAAAAAGGGGTCTTAGGATATAAGTCCCTGGTGACAAATTGTATTAGAACTAAATGACAAGTCTAATTAAAATTTGTTTCACATCCTTTATTAAAGTTATTCCAAAAATGCCCCTCTACTCACAAATTCAATGTTACAGCAGATTATAAATATACTATGATGAACTATGGTATTATTTAACATTTTTAAGTTTGCATCTACCATTTTTTTTAATTTTTCGTGGAACACTTTTTTTTTCCAGATTTTTTCATTATATAAAAATCTATTTTCCCCTTTTCTACATAAAATAAAAAATTATGGTTTCTTTTTTATTTTTTCTGTTTTTTTTTCTTTTTTTTTTCTTTTCATTTTTCATTTTTCGTATTTTTCATTATATAAAATCTATTTTTTCCCCTTCTTTTCTAGATAAATTGAAGATTAATTGTGATTTTTTTTAAATTTTTTTTGCCGTAGACATCTACAGAAACCCGTAGAAACCGTAATAATCCGTAGTAACCCATAGACATCTTGAAACCCTAACTCCTTTCAACCCTAGCCGTCAGACACCATAAACACCCATAGACACTCATAGACATCTGTAGACATCTAAGGTGGTGTTTGCAAATGCTTTTTGAAAGTGATTATGTGGTTTTTTTTGTTCATAATCTGTTTTTAGGTGTTTGCAAAATCAACTTTTGCTTTTGCTTCTCTTAAAATAATCTACTTTAAGCTATTTTTTTAAAAGCACCCCTAACCCTGCTTTTTCAATTTTAGTTCATTTTCCGAAATATTTGCAAACACCCCAAACTTTTAGAAATAAGCACTTAAAACTAACTTAAATCACAATCACTAAATTCTGCTTTTATATAATCATTTGCAAACACCACCTAAATCGAAAAATCTTAAATTTTTCCCAACAAACCCTAAATTCGATCCGCCGCCACCACCACCACCGCCACTACTCCCCCTCTCCATCACAGAGCCTCCCGATGCAACTCCTACACCGAGCGTTGCCATAGCCGTCGTCGCCTACTATAACCGACGCCATCATAGCCGCCGCCATCTACCATAACCGCCATCATAGCCTTCATTCTTTCACTATAATTGAAAAGAAAAAAAAAAGGGGGAAGGGAGGGGGGGGGGGGGATGTGTGTCAGAGAGAGAGATCAGAAGAGAGAGAAAGAGATAGAGAAAAGAGAGAGAGAGAGAGAGAAAGAACTAACCAGAACATGTGGAGCGGCGTGAGAAAGAGAGGGAGAAGAGAGAGAAAGAAATAAGAAGAAAAAAAGACACGTGACTTTTATTAGGTATTGTAAGGGTATTTTTTGGTTAAATAAAAATCAAAGGATGTGTATCAATTTTTATTTTAAAATAGGGATGTAGTTAAAATATTTTATTTGAGTTTGTCACTTATATCTAATTAAGTTTGGTTTGAGGGGTGTGAGGCATATTAACCCTAATAAAAATAAAAGAACCTCTTGTACTTTTCTAATTAAGATATAACAAAAATAAAATAATTAAAATATTTATAAAATATAAAAATTTATTAATTGCAAAATCCCATGGTATTTGTATGAATAATTAGCCAAATGTGCTATATAAATAATTTCATACTGGTTTTTTGCTAATTTATTTGTCATAAGGGGGTTTGTTGCTATTTGGTAATTATACGGGATACTTTCGGCAATTTACTCCATAATTAATTAACAAGTTTTGTGAATCTAATCATAACCTTAGTAACAGAGTTTAATAGAAACACAGGCAATAAAATGGCAAGTTTTCATAGCAATTATTGGCAGTTGATTTATGTACCATTTGATAAGTGTAACAGCTCACCCTTCTGAACTATCAAAAGGTTCGTTAATTCGTGGTGGTTCTCTTGTATCGGACTCGGCAGTGATGTATTTTGTTTACCAAGCTCATGAAGCACGGGCTATAAGCAAATAATCCAATTTTAGATTTAATCTAAAGACAAAAATGCCGACTAAAACATACAGTCATACAAAAGCTACCTGCAGAATTTGCGGATTTGCTTGAACCATCGAGCGCAATGCTCGAAACTGGGAGGGCTCAATCAGAAATTTTATTAAAATAATTCTCATAATCAAGAATTGATATAAATGAACACATTATGTACTCATGTCACATACAAGAGAGAGAGAGAGAGAGAGAGAGAGAGAGAGAGAGAGAGAGAGAGAGAGAGAGAGAGAGAGAGAGAGAGAGAGAGAGAGAGAGAGCATTCAAATGCTTGCAGTGAAACGGTTATTCACATTATAACTTTGAGTTATTTGCACAGAACCCCCTGTGCAATCTGTAATAGCTAAAAAAGCCCGTCATGTTAAAAAAAATTAACAATTAACCCCCTATGTTGCATTTTATTTACTTCATTGCCCCCTAGCAGAAATAAACATGTTGACTTTAAGGAAGTGACTATACTACACTCATTAAAATACATTATAAAACAAAATAAAAAACAAAACATCAATAAAAATTAAAAAAAGGGTCATCAACAAGATTTTTCTCGTTCATCTCCGCTACCATCTAGATCTCTCCTCCGCCATCCGCCATGGCCATCTCCGTATCATACACCACACTCGCAATGAAGGCACCAAAGGCGAAGAAGCAGCAGCCACGGAAGCCTCTAAGGCTATAACGGTGGGCTACTATCGAGCGTCGCCGCAGAAGAAGCCATAAAAATGAAAAAAATAGTTTTTCACTGTTTTTTGTTTTCTCTTGATCTAGAGAGTTGAGACTCAGATTTGGGGTTTTTTTTTTAAGAAAACGTGGTGCTCAGAAATTAGAGAGAAGAATGAGTTTAAATGTGCTCTACAATCCAATAATCTGAATCCTCAGTTTTGCATTTCGTAGTGAAGGAGCCACGATCGAAGCTAAAGGGCCGCCGAAGTTTTGCCTTTCCTCTTTAGTCGGCCTTGTGCATGAATAAGAAATTGCAATTCAGTTCCCTGACTTGGGAGAAAAGGGCTTTTCTAAAACTTCAAGGGACTGAATTGGAAATATTGGAAACTTTATATAGGGCTTATTTTTAAAATTTATATTTTAAAGGGAATTTGGGCATTTTCACAACAGACTATCGAACTCCAATCGCATATTTGTCGAGTGTATCACACGACCAACTCGCAGGCATGCTTGGGTTTTGATGCAGACTTGAAAATGTGAATCTCACTATCTGATTTTTTTGATATTAGAATTTTTAGTCAGGGTCTTTTTCGTAATTAAACAAATATCATCTCCTTGTACAACCCCTTGCCAAAATGAGTGGACCAAAATCAAACCTTCTTGCCATTATATAATTTATTTAGTGTTTATAAAAAAGTATTCTTGAAAAACGAATTTGATTTAGAGAGAGAGAGTGCAAGTTAGAGATGGCGGCCTATGCAGCTCTACTTTCTCTCAAGTATACCATCGAACAGATTCAGCTTCATCCTCGCCCTCCAATTTCTCTTCACCAAAACCAGGTTGATTCTCTCACCGACAACCTCAATATAATTTCCTGCAAGATTTTCTTGAAGTTTATTCATGCGGCGGCTGCATCAGCAGAGAAGCAGCAGATGTCCTGGAAAGCCGCATTGCAGATGCAGCTCATGCAGCGGAAGATATAATCGAAACCCGAATTGTTGATCAAATTCATGGCGAAAAAATGAGCTCCGATGAGTTGTATCAATATCTAGAGAAGGTGATCCAAGACATGGGTTTTATCAAGAAAGATGTGATGAAGATTAAGGAGAAGAATATTGGAATAATCGAAGATCGTCTGCACATAAATTCGCCGACGCATGGTGGTTCATCAAGTTCTCCTTTAACAACGAAGCAGATCGCCGTGGTTGGTCTTAATGATCAATTAATTGAAGTAATGGATAAGCTCACCGGACAACAATCTAATCTCCGCATAGTCCCGATTGTTGGCATGGGCGGCATCGGTAAGACTACTCTTGCTAGAAATGCATACACGAATCAACTTATCAAGGAACAATTTGATATCCGGACTTGGGTTACAATATCTCAAACTTACAATGTGCGAGAAATTCTTGTAGAAGTTCTTCTTTGTGCAAGCAAAGACGAGAGCCGGGAAAGCTTGAGTGGGAGGAGTGAAGGTGAATTAGGTGAGAGAGTACACAAGAGTTTATATGGAAGGAGATATTTGATTGTAATGGATGATATTTGGAGTGTTGAGGTGTGGGATAAAGTACAAATCTTCTTTCCGGACAATGGTCAAGGAAGTAGAGTAATGATAACCACTAGACTATCGAACATTGTTCTTGAGTTGATTGGCTCTCATGGCTCGTGATGGATCTCTTAGATGATGATAAAAGTTGGGATCTACTGTGCGGAAGTATATTTGGAAAAGAAGAAGATTGCCCTGTTGAATTGGAGGAAATAGGAAACAAGATTGCCAAAAAATGCAAGGGGCTTCCTTTGTCGATCGTTGTGATTGGAGGACTTCTAGCGAAGTCGAACCCCACAAGACAAAACTGGGAATATATTTCAGAAAACTTGAACTCAATTGTAAACATGGAAGACAACGAGCGTTGTTTAAAAGTATTGCTTTTGAGTTATCACCATTTGCCGGTACATCTGAAGCCATGCTTTCTGTATATGGGAGTTTTTCCTAAAGACAGTAACATCCGTGTCTCCAGGCTCGTAAAACTATGGATTTCTGAAGGATTTTTGAAACCAATTACCGGCAAGAGCTTGGAAGTGGTTTCGAGAGAATATTTAGATGAGCTTTGTGACAGAAATCTCATTAGAGTTCATCAAAGGAGTTCTAATGGGGGGATAAAATTTTGCAAGATCCATGATCTGGTGAGGGAACTCTGCTTAAGAGAAGCTAAGAAAGAGAAGTTCCTTTATGTCACAATACCGCATGACCTCAACATTATAAATACCCAACGCCGCATCAGTATTCATGAAAGCACAACGCAGAAGGATTATCTCCCTCTAGCTTATCATGCATTGCAATCTGTGCCCCTTGCCCGTTCTTTGTTTTTCAAATTTAAAGGAGTTCTACCATCACTTCATCATTGTAGATTGTTGAGGGTGCTGAGAGCAGTTGATACATATTCACATCCTTATGGAAAGATCACACATTGTATGTATACCCTAGAAGATGTTTTTCAGCTAGTTAACTTGCGGTACCTTGTTGTTGAAAATTTTGGGTATGAAAATCCCTGCAGGTTTCCACCTTCAATGTATCTCCTTTGGAATCTACAGACTCTAATTGTAAAGAGTATCTCTGGCTTTGTTGTTGCGCCCTCTGAAATATGGAAGATGACTCAACTTAGGCATGTTCAGTTCTTTGGTGGACTTAAAATGCCCGATCCTCCTCTTGGGGGGCAAGACGGCGAGTTTGTGTTGGGGAACCTACAGACGCTCTCGTTAATAATAAATTTCAAATGTGGAGAAGAGGTGGTTAAGAGAACCCCCAATATCACTAAATTACAAATATGTTATGAAGGTGAGGAAATTGAGGGATATCTTTCAAGTTACTACTGTCTCAACAATCTTGGCCGTCTAGGGAAACTCGAATCCTTTGACTGCTACTTTGATAGCTTGAATAAGCCAAACCGGAATGATATGCTGCAGAATTCCATCATCCCCAATTCCCTTAAGAAGTTGACTTTGGGTTGGACCTATCTCAAATGGGAAGACATGAAGACGAAGATAGGTTGGTTACCTAATCTTGAAGTCCTCAACCTGAATTGCAAATCCGTTGTGGGAGCGGAGTGGGAAACAGTTGAAGGGCAATTCTGCAACCTTAGATTCTTGCAAATCTACATGTGCAGCGATCTGGAATGGTGGACGACAGACAGCAACCACTTTCCAAGCCTTGAGCAACTTGTTCTTGAATACATGGATAAGTTGAAAGAGATCCCTTCATGTATTGGAGAAATACCAACGCTTGGATCGATTGAGTTGAACTATTGTAGCAAGTCAGCAGTCATTTCTGCTAAAGAAATACTAGATGAACAAGAGGATCTTGGCAATGTAGGTCTTCGAGTTCGAGTTCGAGTTTTCCCAAAGGATAAACAACACTTTGAGAGCCTGGCTAGTCCCAACTTTCAAGTTGAAACTTGAATCTTGTTTCAGAGTCCAGATAAATTTAAGAAACTGGGGGAAAAAAATGTTTTGGACCGTTTCCGCAAATACCAAACAGTTTTAGGGCCGTATCTGTAATTTGATATGTAGCCCGCCAAAGGAGTTTGAAGTTTCTTCAAATGTTCATGTTATTTATTATATGGAAACAAATTCTTATATTTTTAGCATTAAATCCTTGGGGACAAATTTGCAAACTTCTTTTTATATATATGACTATGCATATTTATTTTTGTTTCTACTTTTTGTTTTTGTATTTAGGTTTTGGTTTGAAATCTTTGGTACCACCTTAGAGGGATACATAAGTAACATAAAATCCGAGAATGGAGGTCCGGGAGCCAATTACCGATTTGGTATGTTGTATTTACAATTTTTATTGGAACCAATGTGTGAGCTTATTAATTAATGATTTCTACTTGCTTTTATTTCATGTAGTTTCATTTTGTTCCGCGAGACAATTTTGGAGTTCCTTCAAAACTTTATGTTATTATATGTAAATAAATTGAGTTGAGGCTCGAGTATTTCAATATTTTTTGCTTTTATTTTAATCTTTAAACAAGTGTGAAGTTAAGCTTCAGTTTAATTCATTTAGTTGAGACTCAATTGCTCGATTCTACAAATCTTGACAGCGCAGGCCTTCGAGTTCGAGTTATCACACGGAATAAAAAACACTTTGAGAGCTTGGCTAGTCCCAACTTTCAAATTCAAAGTTTTGACATTCAAATTCCTGGACAACACTGCAGTTTCGCCCCCAAGTATCGGACATGCGCGAGTGAGTATTTTGGCATAAAAATTAATCTTCATTGATTCACATCAGTCTTCTTTTAGGGACAAGAGTTTCGGAGTTTCGGAGTCCAGATAAATTTAAGAAACTGGAAAAAAAAAAAAAGTTTTGGGCCGTTTCCGCAAATGCCTAACAGTTTCAGGGCCGTCTCTGTAATTTGATATGTAGCCCTGCTTTCGTGTTATCACATTGCATCCATCGGTGAGTATCTAAATGCTTCTTCTTTTTAAGGAATTTAAATGTCTAGTTACAAATGATGGTGTCTGTGAACTAATTGCTGCAATAGCTTTCCTTTCTATAGCAAGTAAGATTTATAGAGGAAAGTTTAGATAAAAGTACATTTTGCTGCTAGTGGTGGAAGGGTCAAATATGAAATATGGTTATATTTGAAATTTGAAATTTGAAATTTGAAATTTGAAGATCTGGGCTCATACACCCGGTATATTCAAGGAAATTAACTTTATTCCAAAATTGATATCTTTCATATACTATGTGTGGACGAATTTCATTTGTGGTTAACATCTTTGGTTTTTAATATTGTAACTTGTAAAAATGAGTAAATATGGTTCAGGGAAGCCGTTGCTGCCATTGGACAAGGCTGACGAGCACCACGAAGAGGAAGAGAAGTCAAAGTCGAGGGCAGTTTGGTTTGCTTAATGTTATTGAAGGATTCCGTGTCGACTTTTGCTTTTCTATGTTGCTCGTAAATAAAATGTAAGTTTGGTTTGCTATAACTTCATCTGTCATTTTAATATTTTGGGTAAATTACAACCACCCCCAATTTACCAAAAAAAAAACCCTCTTGTTTGGATAATTACATCTACCCCTCAGCTATGACTTTTTCTTACGCCTCCACCCTTATGCTGTCAAATTTAACATAATCATCTAGATTTCGGGGAATATGCTCTAGTTGTACTCGTTTTGTGTGAAAATACAGTTTCTGATGCACCACAATCTGATATATAATTATATATACAAGCCAAAAAAACACATATTATGATCATCTTGCTTCCAAAATGTGGCCCTCGAATGGGATAAAATGGTTACAAAAGAGATAATAATCCATATAATCTTGAAAATTCCACTAAATTTGAAACAGCAAGATTGGACGTGTAAAAAGATTTATAGTTGAGGGGTGGTTGTAATTACCCAAACATAAGTGAGGTTTTCGTAATTTGACCATACTTCAGGGGTTGATTGTAGTATAACCTAATATTTTTGTGTTTCAGGGCATTACTTCATCATGTGCCTCCAGAAAAACCAACCCACTGGGTTCAGAAAAATGAATATGAGATACTGAATAGCTCAAATTAAACTGCAAATGGGGACCGATTATGTGGTGAAGCTGTCGGAATTCGGGACATGAAAGTTGGTTGAAGTGGATCAGAGACTCGGCTAACGACAAATGGGAATGGGAGCTTTGCATCTCGTCTTTTTCTTGTCATTAATGCACAAAAATAATTTTGACTCGATTCTTGATTCCCAAGTTTCGTATCTCATTATTTGTCGTTAATGGATGAAAATAATCATGACTCGATTCTTGATGCCCATAATTGCTTCGACTAATTCGGAAGATCATAAAAGTTTTGTATCTCGTATTTTGTCGTTAATGGACGAAAATAATCTGGACTCGATTCTTGATGCCCATAATTGCTTCGACTAATTCCGAAGATCATAAAAGTTCCGTATCTAGTTTTTTGTCGTTAATGGACGAAAATAATCTAGATTCGATTCTTGATGCCCATAATTGCTTCGACTAATTCAGAAGATCATAAAAGTTTCTTATCTCGTTTTTTGTTGTTAATGGATGGAGATAATCTCGACTCGGTTCTTCATAATCAAGTGTCGGTTCAAGTCAAAACAGGAGGTGTTCTTGCAATTGCAAAAAATTCAAGACAGTCCAAAATATTCAATAGTTTTACCTAATAATAATTGAAGGATCAAAATTAACCAAGGTGGACACACAGATCCAACACTTAGGTGGACACACCGATCCAGAATCGCAACCAACCAATAAATAAAATATATAAAAACCAACCGTAGGAGGTTTAGAATACAATATCTTAGCCAAACCACACATGGTAGGATTGTGTACGCCATTACAGACAGAATAATTATCATTCAACAGAAAATGAACACGAGATTTTTTTTTTGAAGGCCAAAAAGAAACACGAGATTTAGGTAGTACAAAAATTTCTAAGAAATGGAATAATAAACTAAAATAGAAATTATAGATTATTATAATTAAGGGAAAATGGCAAATAGGCCCATGAAAAGGGCACTTAATTAAAAGAGAGACATCCAACTTTTTTGTCTTTCAAATAAATCCAGTTCATTCAAACTTATTTGCAAATAAGGAAAATCCTTTTATATATACCAAAATTACCCTCAATTCATTGAAACCCAATTCAACTCCAATTTAGCCCAATTTCATCAATTAACCAATTTTAACCCTAATTTCAATTTTGACCCTAATTTTGACCCGCCACCACCGGAGACCGCTAATCTCCGGCGTTGACTTTTTTGTAATTTTTTTTTTTATTGAAAACTTTTTTTTTGAATTTTTTTTTTCGGTAGGTCAACCGCCGTTGACCGCCAGGTCTCCGGCGTTGACTTTTTTTTTTTTTATAATTTTGTTTTTCTTAAAAAAATATTTTAGTTAATATTACTGTCTTGGCTGCTAAATTACTGTCTCCAGCAGTTATTTAAATGTCTGAGACAATAATTTAACTGTTAATTGACTTTTTTTTTTAATAAATATTTTAATTAATATTACTGTATTCGTTGCTAAATTATGTTTTCAACAGTTATTTAACTGCCGGAGACAGTAATTTAACTGTTAATTGACTTTTTTATTCTTAAAAAAAATATTTTTAATTAATATTATAGTATTGGCTGCTAAATTACTGTCTCCAACAGTTATTTAACTGTCGGAGACAGTAATTTAACTGTTAATTGACTTCTTCTTCTTTTTTTAATTTTTTTTCTTAAAAAACATTATTTTAATTAATATTACTGCTTTGGCTGCTCAATTACTGTCTCCAACAGTAATTTAACTGTCTTAGACAATAATATTAATAATATTACTGTTCGAGAAAAATAATATTCATAATAATACTGTCCCAAACAGTAATATTACTGTCTGAGACAGTAATTTAGTAGCCAAGACAGTAATATTAATTAAAATATTTTTTTCTAAGAAAAAAAATATTCAAAAAAAAAAAGTCAACGCCAGAATCTGGCCGGAAAAAAAAATTCAGAAAAAAAATTATTTTCTGAAAAAAAAAAATATTTTGGGGGTTAATGTGATATATTTGTTTAAATCTGGGGTCAATGTGTAATATTAAGGAAGTTAGAGCATAATGGATGGAAATGATAAGAATTATATTATGGAGGATATTTTAGACTAAAGACATGGGGATGAGTTTAATTGAGAGACTGATTTTTTTTTTTTTTTTTACCAGTGTGCATTTAAGTCCCATATAATTGACATTTTGCCATTCGCCCTATAATTAATATTTATGCTAACCCTACTGATTGACTCCCGAATTAGTGAAGATGACGATTCGTTCCCGCTTATTCCTCTAAAGTTGTTCTCGTGCAAAGCCTTGGCCAGGCGCCTCCAGCACTCCAAGAATCGAGCCACACCACCACGAACAGCCACCTCTAAATCTCAGTGTAACCCTTTCTCACACGATCACTCACTCAGAAACCCAAATGCCCGAACAAATACTCACACATTAGTATCAGAATAAAAACCCCACGATCCGTCTTTACACACGCATCCCAAGGATTCTCACACATAGCAGAATTTTGGGAAGAATGAAGATAATTAATCGATTTTTCGTAATTCTCACCTTTTGGGGCCAGAAGAATAAATAGACCCTTAAACCAACAACAAAGAGAGCAAAAGAATCGTTGGGAAGATCAGATTTTCCATGAAAGACGGTCAAGAAATGTGATCGTAAATAACAAAGCAGAGTGGTTTTGGTTTGCTGAGAATGAAAGCAGGGTTTTATAAGATGAGATGTGTGGCTGAGAATAGATTTAATCATCTAATGGTCATAACAAAACCTGAACTCAAGATGGTGGTAGGCTGACTCCATTTGAGAGTGGGCCTGGGCTAGTTTTAAGTGAACCATTTGGGCCCAAACACCAACACATACCTATCCTCTAGCGATCACCTGGCAGATAGTTTTACGAAACCACTTGGAGGTGCAACTTATCAACGAATAATACGCAAGTTGAGTATTTTTGACATATCAATACCACTTCCAACTTGTCGGGGGTGTTTGAGAAATATAAATTAATTTACATTTTTTATTTAGTTAAGCGTTTATTATGTGATTTGATTAGATTCAATCAAGTCTTAATTAGTGATTTGATTAGATGTAATTATTTTATTCATTTTATTGCTCCTCTTTTATGTGTTTATAAATGTACAAGCACTCATTGATGAAATACAAGCCAATAATTCATCTTCTTTATTCATGTGTTTCATCAATTTTACATTACCTTTGAACAAGAATAACGTACTATTGGATGAAAATATGTAGTGAAGCTGTCAGAATTCGGGACTTGAAAGTTCGTTGAAGTGGATCAGAGACTCGCCTAACGACAAATGGGAATGGGAGCTTTTGCATCTCGTTTTTTTTTTTTTGTCGTTAATGCACAGAAATAATTTTGACTCGATTCTTGATTCCCAACTTGCTTCGACTAATTCAAAAGATAATAAAAAGTTTCGTATCTCATTATTTGTCGTTAATGGACGAAAATAATCTGGACTCGATTCTTGATGCCCATAATTGCTTCGACTAATTCGGAAGATCAAAAAAGTTTCGTATCTCGTTTTTTGTCGTTCATGGACGTAAATAATATATATGGACTCGATTCTTGATGCCCATAATTGCTTCGACTAATTCGGAAGATCATAAAAGTTTCGTATCACGTTTTTTGTCGTTAATGGACGAAAATAATCTCGACTCGATTCTTGATGCCCATAATTGGTTCGACTATTTCAGAGGATCATAAAAGTTCCGTATCTTGTTTTTTGTCGTTAATGGACGGAGATAATCTCGACTCGATTATTGATATAATCAAGTGTCGGTTCAAGTCGAAAGGAGAGGTGTTCTTGCAGTTGCAAAAATTTCAGGACAGTCCAAAAAATTCAATACTTTTACCTAATTGAGGGATCAAAATTAATCACACCAAAAAATATTAAAGGCTACCTACTTTTTCCGGCATTTTTGTAATTCTTGGCAATCAAAAAAGAAGTAGGTATGCACTTATGCTCCAGGCAACAAAAGCCCTTCAATTATTTCAGACGGACCACCTTATTAATAACATATATAAATATCCCACCAACAACATTAACACATTGCTTCAGCCGGAAAAAAAATTAAATTTTGTGTAGTAGAAATAACCTTGTTAATGTGTACCTAATTAATGTTAATCGTAGCATGGTAAATTATATGTTACACCTGATTATTTACACTAGGTGGATTTAAAACGTAAATTTACACATAATCACACTGACACACCCATGTGCAGGGGCGAACCCAGGAGTATTGGGTGGGGGGCTAGAATTTTTTTTTGGATTAAAATGATACTAAATTTGAACTTTGGGGGCTAAATGGTATAAACACTACAACATTTTAGGGCTTTTGCGACGCTTTGTATTCCCGACGGTTTCAAAACCGTTGTATAAAGTGTGTTTCTTGACGCTTTTGAAACTTATCTCGACACATAAACACAGTCAAGTAAAAGTAATTCTTGACGCTTTTAAAAATGTTCTCAGACGCTTAAAAACCGTCAACAAAAATAAATTATATAATATATAAATTATTAATCTCTAACGTTATTAACATCACTTTTTTCTCACAATTTTTCATTTATAATCAGACCGATACAATCTCCCTCTAACCTTTGATTAGGGCTTTTCTCTGAATAATGAACTTCTCTTCGACGCCGTACCTCCGCCGCCGCGTCCGCCTCCGCCTCGCCATTGCCGCTAATGCCGAGCCGACATCTCCGTTGCTATTTCTTCCCTCATTATCGAACTAATCATTGTGAAATTACAAATTGAAAAAGGCGAAAATCCTTCAACACTGCAGTTGTTTTGAATCACCCGTGGATTGCGTGACAGGTTAGTCTCCTCTGTTATTATTTTCCATTTATTTTAATTGCTCATTCCATCCGTGTGGAATTCAGTATAGGAAGCTGACAAGTGATATTTAGGTTAATTTGATTGCTTGAATTTAAGGGGTCAAGTTAGGATTTGAAACAAGAGTTTGCAGGTTGTGAGAATCTACAACTTGATTTTTAGAATTTACTTAATTACAGTTTGCTAATTTCCCATAGGTTTCAATTTTTTATTCTTCCAACTTTTTTGTTTACTAGTGTTGTTAATTTCTCAGTTTGTGCACAATGACAATTTATTTTACTTACTTTTCTTATGATACCAATGATTGTGTTTTGAAGGATGCTTTGGAATAATTTGGTTACTGAAATACTTGTGCAATCTTCCCCGAGACCAAATGGTAAAATAAACCTATCTAGAACACTTCAAGTTTGAGATTTGTTTAGAAAATCTATGTATCAAGCATTTAATATGATATAAAATCCCATTGATAATGTGCAAATTAATTTGGAGTTATGGCTAAAAAATGGGATAGTATATACACCATGCTGAGGACTATTTGTCTTCTGATTTAGCTATGTTTCTCCATTTCAGGTGAGCAAAGGAAAAGTATCAGCCACTGTAAGTTCACCTGTTTACTTAACGTACTAACGTCTTTTTCGTTACTTCTCTTTACTTACGGAAAGTGTACATTATTTGCAGACACTAAACAGATTCTTGTTTCTCTATGGTACTGCAGAAGGAGGCCTTTCGAATATCAACACGGTTTCGTTTCTCTCCCAAGAACAATAATTTTTTAATTTCTGGTTATGGCTAAATATATATTTCAAGAGAGTTAACATTCTGAGAAATAATTGAATGTAAAACGTAAGCACAAGCCTGTAACATAACCTTTTGACTTATTTGACATTATTTTTGGATGATAATGATTCATATTATTAGCAGTTAAGTTAATATGTGACCATGTAAGTGGAAAATCAAGAGGATACAAATTTGTGCATTACTCTTCTGAGATGATGGGTTGCCAGGTATGCTTGATTATTCAGATTTTAGATTCATTTTTTCTTCCTCAACTTCATTAGATTTCTCTGTCTGTGTTGTTTGTTTTTTGTAGTTGCTGGATGGCAGAAAATATAGGCATTTTTTATGGCCACGAAGAGCGAAAGCAATTAAGTCAGGTCTGACACTAACTTTTGATGTTATTATGTTCATTATATGAACTCTGTTTCCTACTTGTCGTTGTTACTCATTTGCACGGTTTATAAAAGTTAAATTTGGATTGCTTCGTAAATTTTGTTCCATTTTCCACATGTATCTGGATGTTTTTACATACAATGGTCTAATTATAGCACATGGTATAGTATGGTGACTTCTCCTTTTTAAGAATCCCTTTTCTGTCTCCTTTCCTGTCTTTAATTTTAATTGTAAATAATCAGTTTTCAGACATTTTGCTGAATGGCCTAGCTATAGTTGCTGCAAATTATAAATGGTTGGGTTGATTATACCCTTAAAAATGATTAAACTCATTCTACATATCTTTATTATGTGCAGGGAGGACTTGCCCTTGTTCTGTTCTTGGAATGAGTTAATTTTATTCAGCCTTGCTACCTAATTTCAAAGTTTTAATGCTGACTGCTACTTTATCACTGACAACTATATGATGAGCTTTACAGATTAGGGGATTAACATCAAAGATTGGCAGCAATAAAGGGCCTGCTCTATTGTATCGAAATGTTCTGTTTCACCTAGTAAAGTTATTGGATTGCTAGTGACATATATGCTTATATCCAGGTATCCGTTCTTGCTAAATTCATTCACGGTAAAAATAGCATATAGTATTTCGTTGGTCTTTTTATCCATAGTATAAGCTGTAGCTTTTACGATATAATGCAAGCGCAAGTTCTTGAATTGCAGCTCACTGGTTCTCTTATTTTGTAGGTTAGGTTAGCATCGTAATTGTGGATTAGCATTGTAATTGTGGGTTGCAACATTCTTCGCCGATATATCAGAAAAACTACAGCGCGTAAAGTGCATGAAGCCTGACAAGTACTAAGCTATGGAATAGATGATTGGAAAAGTGTAAATTAACTTTACGTTGTAGATATATATATAATTTTAAACCATTGGATAAATAATAAGTTTTGAGTATTTAGTAATATAAAGAATTTCAAATTTGGATGTAATTAGTGATAGGTTTTGTGAATGAAATTGGGATTATGTATTCTTAAAATATAGAATTCGTGTTTGGAATAATTACAATTCATTTTTTATATTGGATATTCTTGAGAGGTTTCAGTACTAGTGAATTGGTTCAAAAGCAAAATATGAAAATAAATAAATATACAAGTATACCCGACGGTTTTCAAACCGTCGAGAAAAACATTGCCGACGGTTTTTTTACATGTAAAAGTATATACGACGCCTTTTTTCTTGACGGTTTCCTGACGGTCTCAAACCGTCGGGAAAACTATTCTCGACGGTTTTTTGGTCTTTCTTGACGGTTTATATCCGTCGTGTAAAGCGATAAATGTTGTAGTGAAATTAATAGATAAATAACATAAAATATTAAAAATTTAATAAAAGAAAGGTAAAATAAAAATTCTGCAGGGGCGGAGGCGGGCATACCTTGGGTCCGCCCCTGCCCATGTGTATCTATATTTAGTGGGTAATTATTTAATCAAATTTACGATTCAAATCCATCTGATGTAAATAACCAGATCCGATGTAAATAACCACGTGTAACTCCGGGTATATCATTATAATTGTACCTAATTAGAAGGGGCAGAAGATAAATTGACAAAACGGTCTTTCATAATATAATTACTGGAGAAGAAGAGGACCCGTTTTACATATAGTGAAATTTGTTAGTATCTAGCATTTATTTGGGCTGAAACCAATATTTCTATTTGCCAGGTCATAAGTGACACGTGTCCCCTGCTGCTGCAAGTTACCGATGATGTTGAGTGGGCCCGACGTGCCGGCGAAAGCAAAGCAGAATTTCCCCTTCTCGTCAACCGGTATCAGGAAGTTGCTCGGCCGCACCGGCAGCGTCTTCCCGCCGGCGAACTGAAACGAAATCATCGGAACCTTGACCGTCGTCTCCGAGGAGAAGTCGTAGCACGTGTCGAACAGCGAGAATCTCCCGGCGGACCTCAAGTACGGCGACATGCTCTTGAACGTGTCCCTCACCAGGGTGTACACCTCCGTCCGCAGCCGCGTCACCGCCGTGCCGGAGTCCACGATCACCCCGCCCTTCCCGTCGGCGCCGATGTCGAACATGCTCGCCGGGATCTTCAGCGCACGGCCCCCGACGCTGATTCCGGTGAGGCCCACGTAGAAGTAGGTGCTGGTGAGTGAGTTCTTCAGCATGGGCGCCACCACCGAGTCGCCGGGTGGGGCCGAGTTGAACTCGAGAGTCGAGAACGAGCGCGAGTCCTTATCCACCAAGCAGTAGGAAAACGACGTCGCTTTGATCTGAGAAGGGAGGGACAACCTCCCCCCGCCCAAGCCCAGCAGCCCAGCCGAGCCGGAGAACAAGCCGACGTTGTCGTGGCCGCAGCCGAACGCCACGGCGGGGACGGAGCCGTACTGGCCGAAGGAGATGGTCTCGGTGGCGAAGTTTCCGACGGTGTAGGAACCGTCGCCGTAGGAGACCTGGTAGAGACAGGTGTTGGTACGGCAGGCGGAGACCTCGAGGAAAGCGCACTGCAGGGTGTTGCAGCCGAGCGGCTTGTAGGTGGAGGAGGAGGAGGGTTTGTAGATCGGGTCGGTTTGCTGGTAGCAGTCGGAGCACGGGTCGCACTGGAGCCAGCTGACGTCACTACCAGTGTCGATGGCCATGTAGTACTGGTTGGCGGGTTGACCCACTCCGATCCGGGCGAAGTACTCGCCGCTGCCCTGGCTGGTACCGGAGGAAACTGGGGACTGCAGTTGTTCGGGGCGGCGAACGGTGGTTGCCGCCGGGTGGTTGAGGAGGAGTGAACGCACGCGCGCTTTGTCGCGTGAGAGGCGGGAGAGCGTAAGTGTGGTGTAGTTTTTGGAGTAGTCGGTGAGAAGCAAAGAGGAGCGAGAATGTAAAGAAATGGAGAGAGAAAAATTGAGTGGTGAAGAATTAGTGATAAGGTCGACGGCGGGTTTGTAGTCATCTTTAGTTAAGTGAGAGAAAACTCCATTGGCTTGCTGCAAAGAAGCAGACACGTCGAGAAACTTGTAGCCTCGTGAAAGATGCTCTGAAGAAGACGACGAAGAACTGATGAGAAGAAATAAAATGAAAACTAAACGAGAAGCAGAAAGAACATCGATTTGGGTTTCGTCGGCCATTTTTTTTTTTAATTAAATTATTTGTTCTGGGGAGATGAGAAGAAATTGGATGAGAGAGAGAGATAAATAAACGGAGGATGGGTAAGGTGTGATGAGGTGTTGAGACTGCATTCAAAGCTGCCTTAATGTTAGTGCACGTATACGTACCCTTCTCTATTTTTCTTTTTCTTCTCTTTAAGTAACTTCACTGTATTTCCTTTTTTTTTTTCCGTATATTCTTTAATTTCTTTGGAATCTACTTGAATCAACTGCATTTTTAGGTGCACATACTTCACTTTATATCCTCTACTTTGTTTTCTATTGCAAAATGTAACGCATTAAACGTGAATACAAGATTCTAGAGTACCAACGTCACAAAAGCAAGAAATATGAACACAATTTGTATGAATAAACACCACTCTATTTAGACAAGAAAATGTATTTAGCAAGATTATGCGGGTAAGTTGGCATTTCTTCGGCCGTAGGCGTCAGTACCTTCAAATCTATTCAATGATTAATTTCGAAGACCAATCAATGACAAAGTTATGATCGATGATGAATAGAATTGACTTCAAAGATCACGTGTTGATTTTTGCCTCGTTTATGAATCACCATGCATTAAGAATGGGATAATGATTCAGCAACAAGCACATCAAGGCAGTGATGAACATTTGATTTGGTATGGACATTTGAACCGCTGTTATTACGGACAAAAACGCAGTAGATGCAATACTACCAATGAAAGAGCAATACCCTTATTGACCCGGAACCCAATTCACCGGAGGTTTAAACCATCGTTGAGCGAGTCTTTCAAACTTTGAGAGCAAGATCAAGCTGGTTTGGACCAATGACCAACGCTGAAAGAGACTTTGGAAAGATCTACTAGTCTGTAGTGAGACTGAAGAAGTTCCGAGGAAGAGAAGAATATGACTAAACCAGATAGCATGAAAAATAGTAGCAACATAAATCATGAATCTTCTCGCGGAGGTTCAGAGTTAAGAAGTTCACTGTTGTTTTTAAGAAGCACTAGTAATAGATTCACCTTCAAAATTACAAACAGTGTACATAGAGTTTCCAATGATGAAGATGAAGCTCAATTTGGTTTAGTAGGAAGAATATCATGGATTCGTAACCTCCGCCACTCCTACTTGTATGAGATTGTGCGTTCACTACATGCATGCACATATGCGCCTTGAGTTGAGACGTGTGTCGACATCTGAGCCGATATGGAGGCTTTAAATTACCTATTGGACATCATTCATTTGGACATGCAATATCTCCGATTGGATGAGTCGGTGGTTGAAGAGGCACCTGCAAATGACGAGACACGTCTACGATCATAAATTACTTGTATAATGTATGTATGTATGTATGTATGTATGTATGTATGTATGTATGTATGTATGTATGTATGTATGTATGTATGTATGTATGCCGTTGAGTAATTGCGTTTCCATTTTTTGCAAAAATCATAGATTTATGAGTTTTGATCGTCCACGTCGACGATCGTTGCTTCATTTATGATTTTATCAAGAGCAAAAATTCAGAAAGGGCAAGGTCTCTATTTCACTTGAGAGAATGTTTAAATTTGTACTGCGATATTCTGCAAACACAATTAGGGGTTGAACGAGGAGGATACCTTTTTTTTCGAAATAATACGATATTAAAGCTTTTGTGGCTCATTTACATCACCCCCAATTCTTTTAGAGGTATTCATAAAAAATGCAAGTAAATATTTACGTACAATATTTAATGTACTGTAAGTTTTAAAACCATAAAATTTTGAAATATAAAGATAAATATGAAACTGTTGTAAGTAATGTGAAAGTTCTCCTAACTTAACCGCTTTGAGATTTCTCAACCTCCCACTAGAGTTAACTTCTCACTTCTTAATCACATTATGTGTGTAGGAGATAACTTTATTGGAAATCTGACATTTAACTTCTCTTTGTAACTTTCGGTGGTTGCCACCTTATATAAATGAAAAAAAACTCCCTCATCATCTAACACTCACAAGTATCTCTCTATGTTTAGTTGTTTGCTTATTCTATATTTCTCTATATTTATCTTGTTGTATACTATATACTCTACTAAATTATTCCACGATCACCAAACCAAAAAACTTGAGTAATTGGCCATTTTATAACACATTATCAGCATAAGGTGCTCATCGTGCTCGTAGAAAAGTAATCGTTCGAGGAAAATACTTGAAAAACTCGTGATTTGGGTTTTTACGTGAAACGGTGATCTTGGAGAAAGTATAATATTCTTCGTTATACTTGAATTTAAGAGTTTCAATTAAGCCTTAATCCTGTGCAATTTCGATTTTGGTAAGAAATGAATGCTATATAAATTTGATGGCATGAAATGTATGAAGTATATATTTATCTTGAAATTATTACTTCATTTTTATATGACGATCTTCGTAATATGGCATATGTTGGGGTTATAGTCTCCTGATCTGCCTAAAAACCACCTTTGGGATCCCGGTAGAGCAATTTGTGAATCCGGAACTTAGTCTCTATCGCGCTCAGTTTATCCTGCACAAGAATAAACCGGACTGACGTCGCAGTTAGCACTCCGACGGTCAAGTCAGTGATTTGAAGTGGTTTTAGGTGAACTAATGTAAATTAAGAGTTTTTTTGCCCCTTACCTGGTAAATGTGAGTTGGTATTTATATTAAAAAAAAATTGCCTTTTTATTTATATTTTATAAGGATATTTATGTATTATGATCTTATTATTATTAAACTTTTATTATGTTATTAGAATATATACATGATAAAGATATAACTATGTTTAAATATTTTTTATCTATGTTTTGAGTATTTATAAATAATATCTACAAATATATTATATTAAATTGTAAAAACCGATTTATTTCCGATTTATCACCGATTAATCACCGCCGCACCGATTAATCGTGAGTCGGTGCCTGACCGACTCGGACCCGATTATCGCTTTTTACAACCTTGGCTATTACACCACCTCTCCGGGTTTTCCGGATTAGTCTGACTTGGGAGGTTTTCATCAACGGCGGTCTTTAGTCATTTGAACATTAAATGCCGGTGTCAGGATATTTAATGGGCCGGTGCAGGCATAAAGAATGATTGTCAGTCATCATTAAGACGAGGGTCTAGACGATGTAATCTTATAGATTAAAGTCACTAAGACAAAAATAGTCTTATTGAAAGTCTCATGTTGATACATTACTAGAAAATTGATCTAGTTATCGAAAGACCAAGTCTTTACCTTGCAAAAAAAAAATATAATAATGACAATGGTTCAATTACAAATATTTTTGGATAGTTTGGCAGCATAATGAATTGCAAACTCGTAAATATGTAATTCCAAGATAAATAATCAGTCAATGATATTATAAGGGTTAGGTAATCTAAGTATCGCCTTTAAATGGATTACATTAAAAACAAATATCCAATTGTATTAGGAAAGTACATTGGATATATGAGTCCACTAAGATTATGTATCTTGGAAATCCTCAAACAAAATTGAATAGCTCGATTCATGGTCGAATTCGAATATATAACTTGAGATAAGGTTAGAAAAGAAGTTGAATAAACTTCATAAAATTATTGGAGGATGTTCAGTGTTGGACTAAGTCGGTGTCTGCAATTATGAATAAATTGTGATAACCAATCGGTTACGTTAAGGGCACAAACGACATGTATAATGGCAAGTATCGACACACTCGTACACATAAGATCATCAGGCAATTGATCTCAAAATAAATAATATAACATTGATTATGAAAATCAATGGTTAATAGCGGATCCGCGACTAAAAGTCAACTAAAGAGATCAAACATATTGCATGTCCAGGGGAGTGAGATCAAAACCCACAAATTAAGAATTTCTATAGTGGAAACTCAACCATTATGACTGGAGATCCCAAGAACTGGTTCAAAAGGGACAACTAAGTTATGAAAAATTCAGCGATGCACTAAGGAGTATCTATTCCTATGGAATTATATATTTCCAACTCATTCCCGTGATAGACATTAGTGATGCCTGTAGAGAGGGTATAGGATAAGCGAAAGCTTTTAAATTTTTAATGATTCCAAACCTTGACAAAAGGTGAGGTATTGGCAGGATACCTTTAATAGGACATCACCTATCTAAGTGTAGAAGTGTGGACCGCTTCAAAAAGACAAACACTTATGAATCCAAGATGTGCTCCAGGGCCAAAATGGACGCAACCATGAGAACTCATGAAATATGGGAAAACTATTGTATGGGATATCATTGTCTTGGTTTACACAATCAGTATAAAGAATGATTGTCAGTCATCATTAATGCGGTGTCTTTTGTCGCCGCTAAAAGCCCCCTGGTGGGACCCTCGTGCCCCTTTTACCCGAGCGAGTGATCGGCCCTTACCCTTCGGGCATTAGTCTCCTCGGTAGCTTAATGTGCGCGAGGAGCATTTGAGCCTTGGAAAAAGATTGCAGTCTGTTTGAGAATGATCGAGTTACATTGCTTCTTCAGCCTAAACCGAGGAATCCCTTAGATATGATGCAAAGTGGATCTTGTTCTATCTTAGACCAGAGATTTGTCTATGAAAAATACGAATCGGAGTTTGAAGAAGAGGAGGGGGAAGGAGCCCTTGACCCTCAACAGATAGATGAGGGTTTATTCAATCACATAGTTTGGGCTCCTAGAATATGGCGCCCTTGAATTGTATCGAAAGGCCCAATGAATTGGGATTTCCCTATTGGTCCAGGTCATTTTGGGGCAAGCGAATCATTTATGATGAAGAGGATAAGCTTTAAGAGAATGATTCGGAGTTCTTGCAGAGTGGAACCATGCAGTACCAGACATGAGATAGATCTTCCAAAGAACAAGGCCTTTTTCGAATAAGCCAATTCATTTGGGCCCCGGCAGATCCGCTCTTTTTCCTATTCAAAGATCAACGTCCTCGCTCTGTGTTTTCACATCGAGAATTACTTGCAGATGAAGAGATGTCAAAGGGGCTTCTGACTTCCCAAACAGATCCTCCTACATCTATATATAAACGCTGGTTTATCAACTTCTCCCCGTTGGGCCTGCTTGGTAAGACTTATATAGTATATTATTTTAACTTGGGCCGAATGAGGCCCTGCTATTTTGGGTCTGGATTCCTTCCGGATCAA